ACATGCTGAGAAGAAGTAGAAGATGCACATAATTTTTCTTTAGATTTATGTAGTTCTTTCATATGTATATGGATGTTTTAGGCAAGCAGATATTATAAATATTAAATTACAATAGACCACATGGCCAGCTTGGATTTAAAAAGTGCTGATAAGAAAGATTCATCATGGCAACATTATTTGCATAATAACTTCAAAGAATACTACAGGATACACTGTAGAATTGCCATTGGAATTTTATATTGTGTAGACCCATAACACTGCGCAAGGCTGCCCTATAACACTGCGCAAGGCTTCCCCTATAACAATGAGCAAGGCTGCCATTATAACACTGAGCAAGGCTGCCCCTATAACACTGAGCAAGGCTGCCCCTATAACACTGAGCAAGGCTGCCCCTATAACACTGAGCAAGGCTGCCCCTATAACACTGAGCAAGGCTGCCCCTATAACACTGAGCAAGGCTGCCCTTATAACACTGAGCAAGGCTTCCCCTATAACACTGAGCAAGCTGCTCCTATAAACACTGAGCAAGGCTGCCCCTATAACACTGAGCAAGGCTTCCCCTATAACACTGAGCAAGGCTTCCCCTATAACACTGAGCAAGGCTGCCCCTATAACACTGTGCAAGGCTTCCCCTATAACACTGAGCAAGGCTGCTCCTATAACACTGAGCAAAGCTGCTCCTATAACACTGAGCAAGGCTGCCCCTATAACACTGAGCAAGGCTGCCCTTATAACACTGCGCAAGGCTGCCCTTATAACACTGCGCAAGGCTTCCCCTATAACACTGAGCAAGGCTGCCCTTATAACACTGCGCAAGGCTGCCCCTATAACACTGCGCAAGGCTTCCCCTATAACACTGCGCAAGGCTTCCCCTATAACACTGCGCAAGGCTGCCCCTATAACACTGCGCAAGGCTGCCCCTATAACACTGCGCAAGGCTGCCCCTATAACACTGCGCAAGGCTGCCCCTATAACACTGCGCAAGGCTTCCCCTATAACACTGAGCAAGGCTGCCCTATAACACTGTGCAAGGCTTCCCCTATAACACTGAGCAAGGCTTCCCCTATAACACTGTGCAAGGCTTCCCCTATAACACTGAGCAAGGCTGCCCCTATAACACTGAGCAAGGCTGCCCCTATAACACTGAGCAAGGCTGCCCTTATAACACTGCGCAAGGCTGCCCTTATAACACTGCGCAAGGCTTCCCCTATAACACTGAGCAAGGCTGCCCTTATAACACTGCGCAAGGCTGCCCCTATAACACTGCGCAAGGCTGCCTCTATAACACTGAGCAAGGCTGCCGTTATAACACTGAGCAAGGCTGCCCCTATAACACTGCGCAAGGCTGCCCCTATAACACTGCGCAAGGCTGCCCCTATAACACTGCGCAAGGCTGCCCCTATAACACTGCGCAAGGCTTCCCCTATAACACTGAGCAAGGCTTCCCCTATAACACTGAGCAAGGCTTCCCCTATAACACTGCGCAAGGCTGCCCCTATAACACTGCGCAAGGCTATCACTATAACACTGCGCAAGGCTATCACTATAACACTGCGCAAGGCTGCCCCTATAACACTGCGCAAGGCTGCCCCTATAACACTGAGCAAGGCTGCCCCTATAACACTGAGCAAGGCTTCCCCTATAACACTGCACAAGGCTATCACTATAACACTGCTCAAAGGATGCTAATATAACACTGTGGAAGGCTGCCCCTATAACACTGCGCAAGGATGCCCCTATAACACTGCGCAAGGCTGTCCCTATAACACTTTGTAAGGCTGCCCCTATAACACTGAGCAAGGCTGCCCCTATAACACTGAGCAAAGCTGCTCCTATAACACTTAGCAAGCTGCTCCTATAACACTGAGCAAGGCTGCCCCTATAACACTGAGCAAGGCTACCCCTATAACACTGAGCAAGGCTGCCCCTTATAACACTGCGCAAGGCTGCCCTTATAACACTGCGCAAGGCTTCCCCTATAACACTGGGCAAGGCTGCCCTTATAACACTGCGCAAGGCTGCCCCTATAACACTGCGCAAGGCTGCCTCTATAACACTGAGCAAGGCTGCCGTTATAACACTGTGCAAGGTTTCCCCTATAACACTGCGCAAGGCTGCCCCTATAACACTGCGCAAGGCTTCCCCTGTAACACTGCGCAAGGCTGCCCCTATAACACTGCGCAAGGCTTCCCCTATAACACTGAGCAAGCTGCTCCTATAACACTGCGCAAGGCTGCCCCTATAACACTGAGCAAGGCTACCACTATAACACTGAGCAAGGCTGACCCTATAACACTGAGCAAGGCTACCCCTATAACACTGAGCAAGGCTGCCCCTATAACACTGAGCAAGGCTGACCCTATAACACTGAGCAAGGCTACCCCTATAACACTGAGCAAGGCTGACCCTATAACACTGAGCAAGGCTGCCCTTATAACACTGCGCAAGGCTGCCCTTATAACACTGCGCAAGGCTGCCCTTATAACACTGCGCAAGGCTTCCCCTATAACACTGAGCAAGGCTGCCCTTATAACACTGCGCAAGGCTGCCCCTATAACACTGCGCAAGGCTGCCTCTATAACACTGAGCAAGGCTGCCTCTATAACACTGAGCAAGGCTGCCGTTATAACACTGTGCAAGGCTTCCCCTATAACACTGAGCAAGGCTGCCCTTATAACACTGAGCAAGGCTGCCCCTATAACACTGCGCAAGGCTGCCCCTATAACACTGCGCAAGGCTGCCCCTATAACACTGCGCAAGGCTTCCCCTATAACACTGAGCAAGGCTGCCCCTATAACACTGTGCAAGGCTTCCCCTATAACACTGAGCAAGGCTTCCCCTATAACACTGAGCAAGGCTGCCCCTATAACACTGTGCAAGGCTGCCCCTATAACACTGTGCAAGGCTATCACTATAACACTGAGCAAGGCTGCCCCTATAACACTGTGCAAGGCTATCACTATAACACTGAGCAAGGCTGCCCCTATAACACTGTGCAAGGCTATCACTATAACACTGCGCAAGGCTGCCCTTATAACACTGCGCAAGGCTGCCCCTATAACACTGTGCAAGGCTGCCCCTATAACACTGCGCAAGGCTGCCCCTATAACACTGCGCAAGGCTGCCCCTATAACACTGCGCAAGGCTTCCCCTTATAACACTGAGCAAGGCTGCCCCTATAACACTGTGCAAGGCTTCCCCTATAACACTGAGCAAGGCTTCCCCTATAACACTGAGCAAGGCTGCCCCTATAACACTGTGCAAGGCTATCACTATAACACTGAGCAAGGCTGCCCCTATAACACTGCGCAAGGCTGCCCCTATAACACTGTGCAAGGCTATCACTATAACACTGAGCAAGGCTGCCCCTATAACACTGTGCAAGGCTATCACTATAACACTGCGCAAGGCTGCCCCTATAACACTGTGCAAGGCTGCCCCTATAACACTGAGCAAGGCTTCCCCTATAACACTGAGCAAGGCTGCCCCTATAACACTGCACAAGGCTATCACTATAACACTGCTCAAAGGATGCTAATATAACACTGTGGAAGGCTGCCCCTATAACACTGCGCAAGGCTGTCCCTATAACACTTTGTAAGGCTGCCCCTATAACACTGAGCAAGGCTGCCCCTATAACACTGCGCAAGGCTGTCCCTATAACACTTTGTAAGGCTGCCCCTATAACACTGCACAACGCTGCTCCTACCACACACTACACAATGCTGCTGTATAAACAGCCTTATAAATATGGGGTGTGGACCCTGAGCCATGATTGGCCAAAGTCAGCAAGAGTTTGGCCAATCGTGGCTCTTCCTGTGAACTCAAGCTGTGATTGGCCAAAGCATTGCACCTAACCTGTGGCGCATTGCATTATGGGGTGCAAACTTCCCACCGAACGCCCCATATGTTCGAGTGTTTGGAGAACACATGAACAGCCAATGTTCGATTTGAACTTATGTTCGACTCAAACATGCAGACCATCCCTAGCTATAACCCTCCCTTACTTTATCCACAAAAAAAATGCCCACTTTAATATCCCTAGATGTGCATAAAAAGTAAAAAAATCATACAAGACAAGATGGAAAATGACAGAAGTTTTTGGATATTTCCTGAAACTAAAAGGGAGAAAGAAGGAAATAAATGTTACTGTTTGGGTAGTATGGATTACCCTGCTGTTGGGAACACACTGAGATAATTCCATAACCACTGTGTTTAGGACATGCGCCAGACCCAATTCCAATATTAATTTTTCATGTCAGAGCAGTATGGCTTTGTGGTGAACTCTAAACCTTGGTCAGTCACCTTTTGGAGGTGTTACCTCATTTGGTGTAAGGAAAGTACCTGCTTCTGAAGTGGCCTTAGGATGTATTTACCAGATGATTCTGGTGGCTCGGTTGGGACAAGGATTTCCAAGATCAGTGCATCATCCAGATTGCAACAAGTCCATCACATGGGGCTGTAGGCAGGGTTCATACAACCATTTAGTTGGAGTGTTCTATAAGGCCAGGATATACCATTTTGCATCCGCATACAGATCATATTGCATACTATCAAAAGGAATAACTCTCTTCTTCCAATGGCTAATATTTTTGATTTTATGAGAGATGGAATATATTCCCTCAGATCTAAGAAAACAACAAATGATCACTGATATTTTGGGGCCTCCTTATGTAAAGACCTCTCTTTCCGTGTTGGGTTGTAGTTGTAGGGTCTGCAAGGATTCTTTGATGGTTTGTGAGGTGCCCATTAACCACCTCCTGCCTACTGTATAAGGAAGTGACACGACGGTGACAGCTCTCTCATTCAGGCAGGACGTCAAATGATGTCCTCCCACTCTAGCTGTGCATGCGCACCCCCGGGGGTGTGCGACGCATTGATTGGTGGTGCGCTGTATCCTTGGGACACAGCGGATCACCACTCGCAGTAAAGAGCCGATGACACAGGCTCTATCATGTGTTCAGCTGTGTCCAATTGCAGCTGATCGCATGTAAATAGGAAATGCTGGTTATCGGCAGTCCTCTCCCCACGCTGACAGCGAGAGCCGGTAAGTGGCATTCCTCAGAGGGGACATGTACACTGATCATCAGAGCACTGATCATTAGTGCCCTGATGATAAGTGTAGCCCCATAAGTGCCACCTGTCAGTGACCATAATTGCCACCTGGCAGTGCCTATCAATGCCATATACCAGTGCCCATCAGTGCACATGAATGCCATATATCAGTGCACATCAGAGCTGCCTTTCAGTGCCAACCATCAGTGCCGGTCAATGCTGCCTATAAATGCCAGTCATTGATGCCTATCAGTGCTCATCAGTGCCACCTATCAGTGCCCATCAGTGCCGCCTAAGAGTTTCAACCAGTGCTGCCTATCAGTACCCATCAGTGTCACACTCATGCCCACGGGGAGAGGTGCGGTTCTCCATTTTACCCCAAACTGTCAAGGTCCTACCTTTTCCCAGAGGTTATGCTGCTCCATGTGCTGGCATCCATCTTGGATTTCTGCAGAGCATGGTGGGAGTCTTTTATGCCTTCAGGTCTCTGCGGTCCATCCCCCAGAAGGGTGTGGTTGATCACATATAAGCCTGTTGTCGGCACGTGCCCTTTGCATTTGTGTCTTGTGTGTTAGTGTTGCAACAGCTCTGTTTATACTCTCGTGACTCTCCTGGAATCTGACTCGGCTTGTGACTAGACCATTCTCTGCGTTTTCCTTTGATCTGACCTCCCGTTGTGACCTGTGATTCTTGTCTACTGTTCTGTACCGTTTGTCCCGTTGTTATCGACCCGGCCTGCCCGACTACGCTATTGTCTGATCTGATTCCTCCCAGCTACACGCCATTGATGCCATTACCGCAGCTGGGGTGTCTCGGGGGCCGCGACCTGGTTCCTGGCTGCGTCAAGTCCATCCCCACCATCAGGGGCCCTGGTGAAGGGCAGCCTGGGACTTAGACTGAGGGACTCCGGTCTGTGGGTGGTGGTTGTTGTCAATCAATGCGGGACCCTGCCACTAGGCCTGCCTGTCCATTCCACAGCTCCTGCCCTGACACAAACTTCTACATTTTGGTATTTCTCTTAAACTCCTATGCAAACACCTGAGAGGGGGAAGTGTGCACAGAAGAGCAGACGTTATCTCCTCATTCCCCTCCCTCAGGAATGCAAGCAGCGTACGATGCTGAGCCTGCCTAACAATTCTTTTGCCAAATAAGGTATTGGCTTGGCTGTGATAGGAAGATTCCAGTTGAGTTTGTCTTAGAAAAGCAGAGCTCTCTTTCTTTTGTGTTCAGTCAGAGAAGTGAGGACGGTCGGTCAGCTCTGTACCATCTAGCTGACCAAGAGGCTTGTTGTACCATCACAACTACGTGCAAAACCAGGAATCCCTTCTAGCTCATCAGACTTGAAACTGCTTAACTCCAGGCATTTATTTGGCAAGTACTTATTTACCTAAACTTCTTTCTGTTATCTGTTTGCTGTGCTATTGTGCTCTGTATATTTATATATATATTGGTTACATCTTCTTTCTGTAAATATTTTCGTACTGAACCCTTTTAACCTTTTGGTAATAAATCTTACTTTCTAAAAGTGTTGAACTGTTTCTATAGCTCTGTATTGCAATTTACGAATCCCTGCCTCTAAAGAGAACGCTACTATGAGTATTTAACCCTCTGTATAACCGGTCTGTAGAGATAGCGAAATACTGATGGTTAACCAATCATCCTAGTGTACTGCTGAGTTTCCTCTTTCTCTATACAAAAAGGAAGTGGTGGCAGTGTGAAAGGTTAATTGCATAAATAACTCGACCCAGTAACAATAGCGTTCAGGCTGCAGGTACATAGATTGCAGTCCATTAGCTGGAAAATCTTTGTGCAGGGTGCAGCTGGGCGTGGTATTGTTACGCACGTGACAGCACGGTTTTAGATTGGCTAGTCCTTCGGTCACGAGTTTGGTGAGAAGGGCTGGGGTCTGACGCCGTGCCCGTCACAATCAGTGCTGCCTATCGTGCCATATATGAGTGCTTGCTTTCAGTGCCCATCAGTGATGCCTGCAATGCCCCACCAGTGATGCCTGTCAATGCTCATCAGTGCCACCTATCAGTGCCTCCTCAGCAGTGCCACCTATCAGATCCCATCAGTGCAGCCTATCAGTGCCCATCACTACAGCCTCATTAGTCCACATCAGTGAAGAAGAAAAATGACTTATTTACAAAATGTTATAACAGAAACTAAGTAAAAATTTTATTTTTCAAAAATTTCAGTTTGTTTAGCAAAACATAAAACACCCCAGTGGTTATTAAATACCACCAAAAGAAAGCTCTATTTGTTTTGGTACAGCGTTGCATGACAGTGCAATTTTCATTGAAAGTGCGACAACACTGAAAGCTCAAAATTGGCCTGGGCAGGAAGGGGGTAAAAGTGCCCGGTAGGCAAATGGTTAAATAACTTTATATACAGTCACAAGCCTACAAGACCTTGTCGGAGATTTGTTAGCAGCAAGGTGTTAGTTCCTCAAATGTTCAGGCCCCAGGCTGTCTATTCAAACTCTAAACTGAGAGCATTTGAGCATACAGTACTACTGAACATCGAATTATCTGTAATATTATCTCACTTCCATGCTTAATGTCACAGACACATGGACATTAGAGATAGAACAGGAGATAGTAAGTGATGCATTAATTTGATGAGAAAGACACCAGTTAGAGGGGCATCAGCTAGATGGGGATCAGTAACAATATGGAAAAGCCCCGTTAGACAAGAGAATGTGGAAGAAATAATGGATAGCACTGGATTCAAAGTGTTGAGCAGGCATACATTTATAATTGAGACTTTTTGAAGTTTATTTGTTTAATTAAACATTCATAACGTGATAACATGTAAGTGAAAAATACTACAAAAGGCATACAGTAGAATCTTTTTGACAAAGAATAAAAATCTCCTTCTTAAATATATTATCAACTATTTTACCACTTCAGAAGGAGTGATAATTTTTTTGGCAGTCACTAATTAACTTAGGCAAAACCCATTTAAATGAAAGGTGTTAATTTAAGATTAAACACCTTTTTACATATAAAAGATTTTGCAATAAAACATTCATAAACTTAATCAGAGCTTACAATTAGGCAGCAAAATTAAAGAAAAGAAGGAAAAGGGATATTTTTCTAAAATGTGGTTTAACCCCTTGAAGAAATCAGAAAATCACAATGCTTCCTTTATTTCCAGTATTTATACAGTACAGGCACTATCATCTGTCAATACCATAATGAAGCACGTAGTCTAGTTTCTTATAAAAAAAAAGCATGTCTTCTAAGCCCAGTGAGTGGGAATCTTTCAAGTAAACCCCAGTGAACAATGAAAAAATTATTCTGATTTGCTAAGCAAATGATTTTACTTTTCGTCTGTGCTCACTTTAACCCCTTAATGCAGATCGCATGCCAATATGCAGCCTCTTGGTGTCTGGGGCTTGGTGCATATTAGAAAATACTTACGTGCTGAGACCCCGCGCCCTGCGTGCTCCCAGCACATATGTTCGCAACTCCCGGAAAGGTCCCAATCTCCCCTTTCTATTGGGATCTTTTCCGATCATGTGACCGCCGTGACGATGACACGGCGGTCACAAGACCCTAAAACCCCGCCCCCGTCTCTTAAAGGGCTGGCAGGCGCCGGTGCCAAGAGGTTAAATATCTTAAATATTTTAGATTCTATCTTCAAAGCTTAATTAACCTCCATGGCGGTATTCCTGAGTGTAGCTCGGGGTTAACTTTCAGTACCAGAAGCGGTAACCCCGAGCTACACTCGGAAATACCCTTCAGCATTGCTCAGGGATTCCTCCAGCACTTACCTTGTCCTGTGCTCCCACGATGTCCCCCTCTGCAGCGTCCCCAGCCATCTCCTCTGGCCGATGCTGGCATCCGTCTTCCGGGTTTCGTTCCCTGTGAGCGTTGGGGCGTACGGGGGATTGAACCGGCGGGCAATTAAAAAATGTAAAAATGTGACATTCACTCAATACACTAAAATCTCATAGTATAACATTACTGTATCAAACCATTTCACATACATTTTGTCCCTAGTGCTTTGTCCTGTGCCCTGCCTGCATTTTTACTGTTCTTTCTGCCTGGAATCTGAGAAATGTCCATGGCGTCCAAAAAGCGTCCCTTTAGGTCAAAAGCGGTTTTAGACCAGCTAGAGAACAGCGATAGTAAATTAGAACTACTTGCAGAATTGAGTGATAATGATTCGTGGGGGAAATTCGTCATCAGACACTGAAAACCATTCTGCAACTAAGCTGTGATGTGCGAACTTGGTGCTATATTTCAAATTTCAGTGTTTTTTGGTTTGATTACATTATTGAATTAAATGTATTATTATTATATTATTATTTTTTATGATTATTTATTATATTATTATTTATGATTTTGTGTTTCAAATTTTATCATACCCGGGATGTTTAATAGACTCTTGTTTAGACAGATTTCAGTGAGTTATTCCTAAGAATTACAGGCCTACAATAAAAAAAACAACATATTTCCATGCAAAAAAATATACCGCTTTGAGAACAGAAATACTGACATAGTCAGACCACTAGGGAGGTTAAAGCTGAAATCAAAAGCTGATTGGCTACCATGCTCAGCTTACCAGATTCTGAGTGTTCCAGTTTTAGTTAATCTCCCCCATAGTGTTTTCCTAGTGAGGTTTCAGTTATTATCCCAGCCTTTAGCTTATTGTGGAACTATACCTAACCAGGGGCGGACTGACAACTCATGGGGCCCCTGGGCAATAGGGGATCATGGGGCACGTGTCCTTGCCCAAACTCAAAAAAGCCTATGAAAAAGGTACCAGGGGCATCTCATGGGGCCCCCTACTGACCCCAAGCCCCGGGCAGTGCCTGAGTTTCCAAATGGTCAGTCCGCCCCTGTATGCAGCATCTGTGCTGACTTGATCTTATGGTTTAAGGATCTTCAGCTATCTTGAATGGCCCCATCAGGATGATGTAACTTCTGCATATGTGCACGGGAGTTCATTTACCCCAGCACTGAGCAGATTCTAGGGTGTACACTGGGCTAAGCATGAGCATATACATTGTCCAAACAATTGCAAATAGGTAACAGTTCTTTATTGTAGATGTATATTGTACAAAATAGTATTGTATCTGCAATAAAAAGGCTGTTTGCACATTTTTAATTTCTAGGTAAAACTCCACTTATACATTATTTTATTTTTGAGTTACATATGTTTAAATGCTTACGATGGCATAAGTTTGTTATTATATTATATATAGGTACATCTCAATAAATTAGAATATCATCAAAAAGTTTATTTATTGCAGTAATTCACTTCAAAAAGTGAAACTCATATATTACATAGATTCATTACACACAGAGTGATATATTTCAAGCATGTCTTTCTTTTAGTTTTGATGAATATGGCTTACAGCTAGTGATAACTCAAAATTCAGTATCTCAGAAAATTAGAATATTGTGAAAAAGTTCAAAATCGTAGACACATGGAGGGGTTTATTTACTAAAGCTGGAGCGTGCAAAATCAGGCTCACTTCTGCATAGACAGCGATCAGCTTCCAGGTTTTGTTGCCAATGCTTAATTGAACAAGTTGAGGTTAGAAGCTGATTGGTGTCTATGCAGAAGTGAGCCTGACATTGTATTCTCCAGCTTTAGTGAATAAACCCCATGGTGTCACACTCTAATCAGCTAATTAACCCAAAACACCTGTAAATGTTTCCTGAGCCTTTACTTGCCCTCCACAGGATTTACCTCCCTTCCTGACCAGGCCATTTTTTGCATTACGGCACTGCGTTACTTTGACTGACAATTGTGTTGTCATGCAACGCTGCACCCAAATTAAATTTACATCCTTTTTTTCCCACAAATAGAGCCTTCTTTCAGTGGTATTTGATTGCCTGTGCGGTTTTTATTTTTTGCGCTATAAAAAAAAATATTATTAAACATATAATTTTGAGAAAAAGACAATATTTTTGACTTTTTGCTATTAAACATGTCCAGTAAAAAAATTAAAAAAATAAAATTTCATCATAAATTTAGGCCAAAACATATTCTGCTACATGTCTTTGCTTAAAAAAATCCCAATACGTGTAAATTACCGGTAATTGGTTTATATGAAATTTATACTGTTTACAAATGGCTGTATATATACTGGGACTTTTTTTTATTTTTTATTTTTACTAATATTAACGGCGATCAGTGACTTATAGCAGGACTGCAGGACCACGGCAAGCATTCTGACACTGGGGGGGAACTGACTTGATGTCACTGACATCCCCAGTGACACCAAACAGTTATCAGTGCTAATAAAAAGCACTGACACTATACTAATGGCACCGGACAGGAAGGGGTTAACATGTGGAACAATCAAAGGGTTAACTGTGTGCTGTGTGCCGTTTTACATACTGGGTTGTTTTTGTGCTTCACTTTAAGCACACTGCTTTGCATGGCTGTGTTATGCACAGCCATCAAAAGCAGTGTACTCAAGCTGACAGGGGAGAGAACTGTTTTGTTTACACACAGTTCTCCCCCCCTGTTGGAGATGCTTGGCAATCACTGGGCGCCGGTGAGTAATTACCAGCCGGGACACAGTGATTGACAGCCAAGGCTGCAAATGGCGGCACGGGCAGGACGTGCATGGCTCCAGACGCCACCTACCCGGAAATGCAAAATCATGTATATATATGTGATTTTGTGCACCCGTGCCACCCTGTAGCTGTACTTCTGCTATAGGGCGGACGGGAAGCAGTTAAATGGTCTCTCAGTCTTTAACCACTTGCCTACAGGGCACTTATACCCCCTTCCTGCCCAGACCAGTTTTCAGCTCTCAGCGCTGTTGAAATTTGAATGACAATTGCGCGGTCATGCAACACTGTTCTCATATGAAAATTTTATCATTTTTTTGAGACACATAGAGCTTTCTTTTGATGGTATTTAATCACCTCTGGGTTTTTTATTTTTTGCTAAACAAACCAAAAACAACTGAAAAGTTTTAAAAAAAAAAAAGTTTTTCTTAGTTTTTGTTATAAAAATTTTGTAAATAAGTGATTTTTCTCCTTCACTGATGTGCGCTAATGAGGCTGCAGTGATAGGCTCTACTGATAGATGGCACTGATGGGCACTGATGAGGAGGTACTAGTAGGTGGCACTGATGGGCATTGACAGGCATCACTGATGGGCACTGAAAGGCAGCACTCATATATGGCACTGATAGACGGCACTGATAGGTGGCACTGATAAGGCGGCACTGACTGGCACTGATAGGCGGCACTGACTGGTACTGTTAGGTGGCACTGACTGGCACTGATATTCAGCACTGACTGGCACTGACAGGCTGCACTGACTGGCACTGATAGGCGGCATTGATTGGCAGCACTGATAGGTGGCGCTGATTGGCATTGATAGGTGGCACTGATAGGTGACACTGAAAGGCAGCTCAGATGGGCACTGATATGTGGCATTGATGTGCACTGGTAGGCACTGAAATGTGGCATTGATGTGGCACTGATGTGCACTGGCAGGTGGCATTGATGAGCACTGACAGCTGGCATTGATGGGCACTGACAGGTGGCACTGCTGGGGCTACACTGATTATCAGGGCACACTGATCATCAGTGCCCTGATGATCAGTGTACATGTACCCTCCGAGGAATGCCAATTACCGGCTCTCCTTTCCTCTCGAGCTGTCAGCGTGACAGCTCTTGAGGGGAGAAATGCCGATAACTGGCATTTCCCTATTTACATGTGTACAGCTGTGATTGGACACAGCTGATCACATGACCGAGCTGACATCTTCGGCTCTTTCCATTGATCGGTGATCCGCTGTGTCCGAGGGAGACAGCGCACTACCGATTGCCGCGCTGCGCGCTCCCGGAGCCGTGCATGCGCAGTTAGAGTTGGAGGACGTCATATGACATCCTCCGAGAACAAGAGAACCGCCTTGCACCTGTCATTTCCTTATATGGCAGGCGGGAGGCGGTTAAGGAACTTTGCTTAGCTTTCCAAGGCTCAGTTAGATGACGCTTTCTGTCCTGGTGACAATGGTTTTATCAAATAGGAAATAAGGGAAAATCTGCACAGAGATACAAAACAAAAGTAGACATCTGACAGGAGTCATAGCCTACTTCTACGCTTAAAAAAGTTTTAATTTCTGTTGGAATAGCAGTAAAACTGACAAGGGTTCTAGTCCTCCCCATACTAGTCAAAGTTGTGGCTTGATATACACCTTAAGAAAAATGTAGGCAATGATTAGTAAGTGTACCTTAAGCTATGTACACACATGCCGAATATCAGCGGGTATCAGTCAGTTCAATAGAAAGTGGCCGACATTCGGCATGTGTGTACAACTGCCTGTCCGGCCGAAGCCAGCCGGCTTCTCTCAAACAGGCATGCTGGGAAACCAGTATCTGATCAGTGCTGGCAGCCAATGGCTGCCGACACCAACCATTGTGTTCTGGTGGGGGGGGGGGGGGCTGTCCCCCTGTCAGAACACAATAGCTCACAGTAGCTGCATTTCATTTGCAAGATACTAATTTTAAGAGGAGTAACAAGGCAATGTAGCAATAATAAGACAATTTGAACTAAAGGTACACTTTAACAAGCTCTGGGGGGTATTTACTAAAACTTGTGCACTCAGAATCTGGGGCAGCTGTGCATGGTAGCCAATCAGCTACCTAACATCAGCTTGTTCAATTAAGCATTGCCAATAAAACCTGGAAGCTGATTGGCTTCTGCACCAGATTTTCTCCAGTTTTATCAAATAACCTCTTATGATACCATTGTTGACATTAAGCTAATCTTTTCTCCACTTTTGCCCCAGAACTGAGCAAGCACAATTAAACCATGATCTCAGTGCTCCCATGCAGTGATCCAAAGTACAGCAATTACACCAGGGCTTAAGCTACTAGCCACGCCTTAAGAGTTACTCGCCACCAACAAACACACACAAACAAACAGAAACACCTGTACACACACACAGACATGTACGTACATACACACACACACATTATTATTATACAGTATTTATATAGCGCCAACAGTTTCCTCAGCGCTGTACATTATAATGGGAGACAATACACGAGACAGCACAGTAACAATACAATACAATACACGGGGGGTTCGAGGGCCCTGCTCCTTGGAGCTTACAATCTAGGAACATACACACACAGAAACATGCATACACATGCACAGAGACACATGTACACACATACAGACACATGTATACACACACAGGCACGTACAGATACATGTACATACACAGAAATACACACGCGCAGACACATGTACATACACACAGACACATGTACATACATACACACAGACACATGTACATACATACACAGACAAATGTACACACAAACACACACATATACACACAGACGCATGTACAGATACACACAGACACATGTACACGCATACACAGACACACACAAACACACACACATGTACGCACACTGTTAAGTGCTCTCTCCTCTCCCCTGAATCCACCACTGGCTGATATAGAGGATCATGTGACCAGAGTTACACACACACACAGCCCTATAAAAAAGTTGCAGTACTTCGTTGTTCACTCACAGAGCTGGGTACTGCACTCTAGGGGGAGGCAGAGAACACATCACACACACCCTTCCTTTGCTTTCACTGCGCTTAGCTATTGAGCAGTCTGACGGCTCCCAGTTCCAATGACAGATCCGGCCTGAGCTCCGAGCCTGCTCAGCAAGACGACCCTGGGGGACACACTCGCCCCCACCATAACTTCTACTTGCCATTGGCGAGCAGGCGAGTGGAAATTTCAAGGCCTGAATTACACCATCATCTGATATTGTAAAGATTTGATAACATAACGTGCTCGTCCGCACGAAACGCGTCAGGGTGGAGCCTAGCCGGTGACGTCACGCCGTTCCGTACCTCGTGGAGGCCGGCGCATCTTTATATCTGGATACTCTGTGAGTTACTCTGTATACTACTTTAATAAAGAACATTGGTTGGAACATACTACACTATCAGTGTTCTTTGGGGTGGGCTTCTTGGTCAAGCCCCCCCTCTCTCAAGGTGGATACTGCATGAAAGTGCCCTGGGTATAAGCATTATCACCTTTGGATGTCGGGAGTCCCCCTGCTGGTTAAGGAGTGACAGACAGCTTGCCAGATGATCCACACGTACAGATACATGTACACACAGAAATACACACGCGCAGACACATGTACATACACAGACACATGTACATACATACACACAGACACATGTACATACATACACAGACAAATGTACACACAAACACACACATATACACACAGACGCATGTACAGATACACACAGACACATGTACACGCATACACAGACACACACAAACACACACACATGTACGCACACTGTTAAGTGCTCTCTCCTCTCCCCTGAATCCACCACTGGCTGATATAGAGGATCATGTGACCAGAGTTACACACACACACAGCCCTATAAAAAGTTGCAGTACTTCGTTGTTCACTCACAGAGCTGGGTACTGCACTCTAGGGGGAGGCAGAGAACACATCACACACTCCTTCCTTTGCTTTCACTGTGCTTAGCTATTGAGCAGTCTGACGGCTCCCAGTTCCAATGACAGATCCGGCCTGAGCTCCGAGCCTGCTCAGCAAGACGACCCTGGGGGACACACTCGCCCCCACCATAACTTCTACTTGCCATTGGCGAGCAGGCGAGTTGAAATTTCAAGGCCTGAATTACACCATCATCTGATATTGTAAAGATTTGATAACCCCTTTGATAACGTGCTCGTCCGCACGAAACGCGTTCAGGGTGGAGCCTAGCCGGTGACGTCACGCCGTTCCGTACCTCGTGGAGGCCGGCGGCCATCTTTATATCTGGATACTCTGTGAGTTACTCTGTATACTATATCTTAATAAAGAACTATTGGTTGGAACATACTACACTATCAGTGTTCTTTGGGGTGGGCTTCTTGGTCAAGCCCCCCCTCTCTCAAGGTGGATACTGCATGAAAGTGCCCTGGGTATAAGCCTGGATTATCTCTGTGGGGTCCTTTGGATGTCGGGAGTCCCCCTGCTGGTTAAGGAGTGACAGAGTGACAGCTTGCCAGATGATCCATATAGGTGCAACCTTTCTGGGACCAGGAGTGGTCTGACAACTCAAATGCGCATTTTATGCGCTTTCTGGTGAGTGCATATTATTAAACACTTCACAGCACGGAGTTCATCACGTCTTGCACAAGTTTATTGGGACTACTGCATATATGCTATGAGGACACTTACAAATCACTACTAAGCAAGTAGTCTATTACACATGTTTCTTTATGTTGTAGCAGGTTTCTTATTTTAGCGCTGCATGTATTATTATTTTAGTGTGAAGGTTTGAAGTTTGTGCCTTTCATGCCAGCTGCTTGTTTACGCATCTCCAAGCGCTCGTTAATTATCCCCTTTTTTCTGTTATAACTTCTACTTGCCATTGGCAGCAGGCGAGTGGAAATTTCAAGGCCTGAATTACACCATCATCTGATATTGTAAAGAGTGGCAGAGGAGTTATAAACTTTGTGTGTATGTAGAACCTGACTTATCCTGCAAGACTGGCACATTTATTTGTAAAATCCAAATGTATCTAAGGCAAGGTTGACATTTGTGCAAGTCTAAATCGCATGGGTTCCCACACCCACACCCACATGCAGCCGCAAAAAAAAGAGCGCTGCATTTAAGAAAATAGGCAGGAGTGCCATTAACTCTTAATGGCACCTCCAGGCACTGAAAAATAAGTTGTAGTTTCCTGCATGCAGAAATGTATGGTGCCTAAGTACTATGTGGTTTCTGTACAGCTGCATTTATTTATTTAATTATTTTTATTCAGATTTTCAATTTTTCTTTTCACAATATAACAAAAGGAAAATAATATACAGGATCAGTTGCATTTTAAAAAAGATGCAAGACAAAAAATATATACTTTACTCAGTTACGGTTAATTGGTTGCCACCATCCTTATATTGCGACAAATAAATGCTATAATCCTCTATTGAGACTTTGAGGGTAACCAAAGAAACAATGAATGAATGTAAAATTATCACATCTTTAGTTTTTAACAATTGAAAAGTAGTAAAAAATATTCAAAACACCAATTCTGGAAACAAGACAGGAATCAGTTTACAATGAGTGCTTTACACACTATAACCAAACCATACTATAACCAAATCATGCTATAGTCGAAAAACCATTTTTTGCTGCAGAGCCACATCATTCTTGGTTACAGTTTGCTTAAATGGGATAGGACCACCACACATTTAAAATTTTTGGATTAGCTTCTTCCTCCAGGATATAATGCCACCCTGCAAGGTTTCACCAAGGTTAATTCCTGTCTTGGTAACAAAATTGGTGTTTTGAAAATATTTAACTACTATTCGAGGATGTATTTAGTTGTTTATATTTAAAGATGTGATTGTTTTACATAAATTAATTCATTGATTTTTTGGTTGCCCTCAAATTCCCACTAGTGGATTATACCTTTTACTTGTCAAAAAAGGTTTTTCCTGCAAGAAACACAAGCTCAGCAGCCTATTCAAATGAATGGCCTTCTTTGCCCATGCAAACACAGCATGCAGAACCACTCATACTATATGTGAGCCTAGCCTAAATGTTCAACTGGCCAAAGGATATGATAGCAAATAACATTCTTTTGGCAAAAAGGTTTAACTCAAATTTAAAGCTAAACACCAGGAAGCTATAAAGGAGGCCACTAATTAATCTAGTTATGTATTCATACTGTATTAAACCATTATGTTTATTAACTGCAACTAGTATAAACACCGTGGTGCAGACAATCAACAGGGGGCCTTTATGAAGGAATTAATTAGGGCCCTTCTTGGACATATAGTTATATATACACTGCTCCAAAAAATTAAAGGAACACTTTGAAAACACATCAGATCTCAATGGGGAAAAATATAATTCTGGATATCTATATTGATATGGACTGGGTAATGTTTTAGGAATGTAAGATGCCCTATCGTTTGATGGAAATGAAAATGATCAACCTACAGAGGACTGAATTTAAAGACACCCTGAAAATCAACTCAAAATGGTACTCAGTAGTTTGTATGGCCCAATGTGCTTGTATGCATGCCTGACAATTTTGGGGCATGCTCCTAATGAGATGACAGATGGTGTCCTGGGGTATTTTCTCCCAGATCTTGAATCAGGCCTTCACTGAGCTCCTGGACAGTCAGAGGTGCAACTTGGCGGCGTCGGAGGGACCGAAACATGATATCCCAAAGGTTTTCTATTGGATTTAGGTCAGGCAAGCGTGGGGGCCATTCAATGGTATCAATTCCTTCATCCTCCAGGAACTGCTTGCATACTCCCGCCACATGAGGTCGGGTATAGTCGTGCACCAGGAGAAACCCAGGACCCACTGCACCAGCGTAGGGTCTGACAATGGGTCCAAGGATTTCATCCCGATACCTAATGGCAGTCAGGGTGCCATTGTCTAGCCTGTAGAGGTCTGTGCTTCCCTCCATGGATATACCTCCCTGAACCTTCATCAGTGAACCACTACCAAAACCGTCATGCTGAACGATGTTGCAGGCAGCATAACATTCTCCACGACTTCATCAGACCCTTTCACGTCTGTCACCTGCTCAGGGTGAACCTGCACTCATCTGTGAAAAGCACAGGGTGCCAGTGGCAGACCTGACAATTCTGGTGTTCAATGGCAAATGCCAAATGAGCTCTATGGTGCTGGGCCGCGAGCACAGGGGCCACTAGAGGACATCGGGCCCTCAGGCCACCCTCATGAAGTCTGTTTCTGATTGTTTGTTCAGAAACATTCACACTAGTGGCTTGCCAGACTGTGCTGGGAGACACAGCAAACCTTCTAGCAATGGCACGTGTTGAGGTGCCATCCTAGAGAATTTGGACTGCCTGTGCAACCTTTGTAGGGTCCAGGTATCACCTCATGCTACCAGTATTGACAGTGACCCTAGCCAAATGCAAGACTAGTGAAAAACAGTCAGAAAAGATGAGTAAGGAAAAAATGTCAGTGGCCTCCACCTGTAAAACCATTCCTGTTTTGGGAGTCATCTCATTGCCCATCTAGTGCACCTATTGTTAATTTCATTAACACGAAAAGCTGAAACTGATTAACAACCCCCTCTGCTACTTAACTGACTAGATCAATATCCCAGGAGTTTAATTGACTTGATGCTTTACTCTGATTAAAAAGTGTTCCTTTAATTTTTTGGAGCAGTATATATATATATATATATATATATATATATATATACACCGTATTTTTTGCTCCATACGACGCACTTTTTTCCCCCCAAAAAAGGGGGGAAAATGTCAGTGCGTCTTATGGAGTGAATGTAAAGCTCCGGTATTTCTGCCGCCACCATGTCAGAATATCGGGCCGGCTGCTCAGCTCTTCTCTCCTGCAGGACCTTACCTGTTTCTCGCTCCAGCGCAGCAGTCTTCCCGCGGCGGCTTCTGTGACAGCCAGGTGCCCACTGCGCTGCGCTTTGTGAATGGTCCGTTGTCTTCTGGGACACATGACAGGTCCCAGAAGGCTCCGGGCCATTCACAAAGTTCAGCGCTTCTCTCGCATGCACAGTGGTCACCCGGCTGTCACAGAAGCCACCGTGGGTAAAAGAAGGAAGGACAACTCCGCGGAAGTGGGAGCGGGTACCTGTCAAACCTCCCTCCCCAAAGGTCCGCAGTCTCTGGTAATCTCCTTTACTGTCTGCAGTCTCTGGTCATCTGTACTATGTCCACAGTCTCTGGTCATCCCCTGTACTATGTATGCAGTCTCTGGTCATTCCCTGTACTATGTCCGCAGTCTCTGGTCTTTCCCTGTACTATGTCCACAGTCTCTGGTCATCTCCTGTACTATGTCCGCAGTCTCTGGTCATTCCCTGTACTGTGTCCACAGTCTCTGGTCATCTCCTGTACTATGTCCGCAGTCTCTGGTCATCTCCTGTACTGTGTCCGCAGTCTCTGGTCATCCCCTGTACTGTGTCCGCAGTCTCTGGTCATCCCCTGTACTGTGTCCGCAATCTCTGGTCATCCCCTGTACTGTGTCCACAGTCTCTGGTCATCCCCTGTACTGTGTCCGCAGTCTCTGGTCATCCCCTGTACTGTGTCCGCAGTCTCTGGTCATCCCCTGTACTGTGTCCGCAGTCTCTGGTCATCCCCTGTACTGTGTCCGCAGTCTCTGGTGATCTCCTGTACTGTGGCCGCAGTCTCTGGTCATCTCCTGTACTGTGTCCGCAGTCTCTGGTCATCCCTTGTACTGTGTCCGCAATCTCTGGTCATCCCCTGTACTGTGTCTGCAGTCTCTGGTCATCCCCTGTACTGTGTCCGCAGTCTCTGGTCATCCCCTGTACTGTGTCCGCAGTCTCTGGTCATCCCCTGTACTGTGTCCGCAGTCTCTGGTCATCTCCTGTACTGTGTCCACAGTCTCTGTGATCTCCTGTACTATGTCCGCAGTCTCTGGTCCATCTCCTGTACTATGTCTGCAGTCTCTGGTCATCTCCTGTAGTATGTCCGCAGTCTCTGGTCATCTCCTGTACTATATCCACAGTCTCTGGTCATCCCTCGCATGCACAGTGGTCACCCGGCTGTCACAGAAGCCACCGTGGGTAAAAGAAGGAAGGACAACTCCGAGGAAGTGGGAGCGGGTACCCGTCAAACCTCCCTCCCCAAAGGTCCGCAGTCTCTGGTAATCTCCTTTACTGTCTGCAGTCTCTGGTCATCTGTACTATGTCCACAGTCTCTGGTCATCCCCTGTACTATGTATGCAGTCTCTGGTCATTCCCTGTACTATGTCCGCAGTCTCTGGTCTTTCCCTGTACTATGTCCACAGTCTCTGGTCATCTCCTGTACTATGTCCGCAGTCTCTGGTCATTCCCTGTACTGTGTCCGCAGTCTCTGGTCATCTCCTGTACTATGTCCGCAGTCTCTGGTCATCTCCTGTACTGTGTCCGCAGTCTCTGGTCATCCCCTGTACTGTGTCCGCAGTCTCTGGTCATCCCCTGTACTGTGTCCGCAATCTCTGGTCATCCCCTGTACTGTGTCCACAGTCTCTGGTCATCCCCTGTACTGTGTCCGCAGTCTCTGGTCATCCCCTGTACTGTGTCCGCAGTACTCTGGTCATCCCCTGTACTGTGTCCGCAATCTCTGGTCATCCCCTGTACTGTGTCCACAGTCTCTGGTCATCCCCTGTACTGTGTCCGCAGTCTCTGGTCATCCCCTGTACTGTGTCCGCAGTCTCTGGTCATCCCCTGTACTGTGTCCGCAGTCTCTGGTCATCCCCTGTACTGTGTCCGCAGTCTCTGGTGATCTCCTGTACTGTGTCCGCAGTCTCTGGTCATCTCCTGTACTGTGTCCGCAGTCTCTGGTCATCTCCTGTACTGTGTCCGCAGTCTTGGTCATCCCCTGTACTGTGTCCGCAGTCTCTGGTCATCCCTTGTACTGTGTCCGCAATCTCTGGTCATCCCCTGTACTGTGTCTGCAGTCTCTGGTCATCTCCTGTACTGTGTCCGCAGTCTCTGGTCATCCCCTGTACTGTGTCCGCAGTCTCTGGTCATCTCCTGTACTGTGTCCACAGTCTCTGTGATCTCCTGTACTATGTCCGCAGTCTCTGGTCCATCTCCTGTACTATGTCTGCAGTCTCTGGTCATCTCCTGTACTATATCCACAGTCTCTGGTCATCCCCTGTACTGTGTCCGCAGTCTCTGGTCATCCCCTGTACAGTGTCTGCAGTCCATTGGTTCAGAATAATTTTTTTCCTGTTTTTCTCCTCTAAAACCTAGGTGCGTCTTATGGTCAGGTGCTTCTTATGGAGCGAAAAATACGGTATATTCTGTTTTTAAATAATTAATAGTATCTGTGTGACTGTGGTGCCGACTTTAGATTGCAAGCATATCCATTCTCAATAACTCTTTGTAATGTTCAATGCAACAAAAATAAATGCAATATAAATGAATATAAAGGTTCTGCGCTTATATTCAATTTTCAGTTTGCACCATTTTATGCTAGCAGCTCAACCCACATATCTATATATAAATGCAGTATGATAGTTCCAAGTCTGAAAGTCCTCACCTCAACCCTGTCAATATGAACTGTTCACACAGTTATGATTATACATTGAAACAATTGTGCGCTTAGTGCAAAAAGAGGTAATGCAGCAACCTATATTCTGGAAATAAAGGAATTACTAAAATAATTCCAGTGACAGATGATGTTGTACACTTGCTGTTGATCCCTGGCATGGTGTGTTTTGCTTGTATTACTCTGTAACTTTTGTAAGTATATCTGCTTTTAATAAACCATGTGGATTTAGCATACTACTCTATGGTCTGTTTGTTCTTTCTCCTGTGCATTATTACTTTGAGGTGCTGGCTTTGGATAACTAGTGAAGGACGACGATGGAGGTGGTGGAGGCGGTGGTATCTTAAGTGGTGGCCCCACAAATGGATGATTGTTGATCTCTTATCATTTGGAAATCATTACTGTTTGGTAAGGGAATCAGCCCACTTGTCTGTGAGGTGGTTTGAGATTCTTACATGTAGACTTTCATCATTCTTAAGATTTCACATTTGGACTTGTATATATTTCTCTTTCAATTTTACTTCTTTATTATACACAAGTGAATTATATGTTATGGGACTGCTATTTCACCATTTATGCACATTACTCATTTTGGTTTAACATGAGTTCATTTTATTTCCTCATACACTTATTTTTGTATTGATTGCCACAGAGATATTGTTTTTTGCAAACCTTTTAAATTAATTATGATTATACATTGTGAACAAGTGAATATAAAGGCACAACTTTTTTTGTTTTAGATAAAAGTAAAAGGCTTAGAACCCCAAGTTTTTATTGCAGTCTGTGTTCCCACTGTGCAGATTCAGCCCTCTTTGTCTCCTAATGACCACTGTCACCGAGACAGAAAGTTAGTGGAAGTCCTACATTTTAGAGCTGTCATGAAAGCAAAAAATGAAGAAAAATAATTCAATTGGGACAGCTTTTCTAGTGACTACTGTCTAAAGGTAGACTTCACTTCACGTTTATGAGATTTAATCTCATTCCCATTGCGTCTTCAAGAAAAGAATTGAAGAGGAAACTTCCCAGCAGGACAGAGAGAGCAAAAATTAACTAATAGGTGTTTCAACGCTTCCCTATTATACAGATACTTTAATAAAACCAATGTTTGATATTTTTCTTTCTGACCAAGCAGTGTTTTCTAAAGCAAACCTTGAATGCTCAGCTTGCTACATTGATACAACACAAAATACAACCTTTAGTTATGTATCCCACTGATGTACACCAGTTTTACCATCACTTGTACAGTAGGTGGGTGCTTTCCTCAGTGTCACCAGTAGTGGAGCTCTGAGACTGCACCATAGATTCTACACACAATGGTGTCCTGAGATGTCCCCAGACTGGGAATGAAGAGTGGAAATCATGAAAGCATGAAAGTAACAGTAAAGAACTATGGGATAGCACAAAGGGCCATGAACAAACGTACTACTAATAATAAAATAACACAACAAAATGATTCAAATGTTTAAGTATTTATTGAAATATTTTATTGGCCATGGCATCATTTAATGGGTAAACTTAAATAAATAAATAATAAATGATAAATATAGCCATCCTAGCTAAAACCAAAATATCACCTATAAGATACAGTCATATTGTCATCCAGATATACTGGATAACTAAACCCCCCACTGAACAAACACCATGATGAGAATTTATTAACGAAGAGGTCCATTCCACAAGAGCGGGAAGGCAGCAGGTTTTATATATGCGCTGAATGTGCTGCCTGAGTGCCCACCAATTTAGACCAATGTTGCTATGGGATGAATCCTGTTTCAATCACCAGTGGCAATCTGTCAATCAAAGTGAGAGAGGGAGGGAGGAAACTATGCCCCTTTGTGCTATTCCATGGGGTCCCGCTGAGTGCTAGGGACCATTACCTTATGGCTCCACAATGGCTTCTAGTCCAATTGGTTAAAGTGATATTAAATGCAATTTAGAAAAAATATAACAAACATGTTATACTTCCCTGCTATGTGTAATGGTTTTGCACAGAGCAGTCCCATTCCACCTCATCTCGGGTCCCCTGATGGCAATCCTGTTCCCTCCCTCCTGCTAAGTGCTCCCAGATCAAATAGCTTGCTATGGGGACACCCAAGAAGCCTTGCTCCCAAGCTTCTGCCCTGCTTGTCCTTCTCACACAGAGCAGTGGCTCAGCCCCTTCCCCCTCCTTATTGGCTCACTGTCTGTGATTGACAGTGAGGGGGGAGAGTCCCCAGAAAGCCGAGGCTCTCATGCACATCACTGGATTACGATGGGGCTTAGGTAAGTATTGAGGGAAAGGGGGTTGGGGGGGGGGGCTGCTGCACACAGAAGGTTTTTTTACCTTCATGTATAGAATGCGTGAACTTAAAAAACCTTGAGCCTTTACAGCCACTTTACTTTGCCAGCAGTGCTGACGAGTTTTGAGAGGACAAAGTGATACCTCGCATAGCATAGCATGAGTGTGGCATATTCCATTATTTTCAAATGGGGAAACTGGGGGAGAAACCTGGCTGGTGATGCATGTTTTTTATTTTACCTATTTTATGCATTTCTTTTAGCAGTCTAAATTTTTCACCATTATTTACACTTCACTTTATTGCCACAATTTCTCATGTCAGACATGTATAAAAAGGGTAATAATTGTACCTTTGCATATTTCCTAAAAAATATAAAGGAAAAATATATAGGTTCTTATTGCTGACCTCCTTTCTTAAATACTAGTTAACTTTCTGTATCTAAGTTACTGATCCAAAACATGTATACATTGATCTGGAAAGTCCGAGTGAAGGCAGAACTCCAAGTATGCATACTTGTTATGGGCCAGTGAGATATATTTCTGAAGGAGTTAACGTACGATATCTAAGATGAGCTTTTGTTCAGGTCTTTTATCCAATTACAGTATGTGCAAGAAAAACGGTAGTTTTCCCTTACACATTACAAAGTAAACATTCAAAGTGAAAAAAGCTTTACTTTTTTCATTAAGCTACTGCAACTGAACCTTAACTGTGCTGAAGTACTGAAGCCATTGGGTTAATTTACTAAAAGATTAAAAGCTGTTCACTAGCAAAGTACATGGCCATTTAGCAAAGTGAATGTTAGTGAGTAAGGTGAAACAGGGTCTGTATGCTCGAGGGGAAGGAAGGGTTGGCCAAACACATGAACACTGTGATTACCTATCACAGTAGTCACATGATCGGGAGCTGGACCTGCAGGCTCCTGATCATTTTTTTGAAGTCAGAGTGCTTTATTAACCAAACATACAATACAGCATATATACAAAGAAAAACATGGTACAACATGAAACACGGTCTTCAGAGAAGAGGAAACAAAGAGAGCTATGAACAAAGACTGTTCATCCATGTAGTACAGCACTGAAATAAGCAATGACAAAAACCAGGTATAGATGATTCACATGAACAGAATATAGCAATCAGTATGACAAACCACTAGCAATTCCAAACCCCCAGCATAAATAAAGGAGTGGACTAATGAGAAAAGAATAAAAGAGAAAAAAAAAGAGTGGTGGAGGGAGAGGGAGGGAAAAGGAGGGGGGGCAGGGAAAGCAGAGTGAGAGGAGGGATGGGACAAAGAAACAGAAATGGGGAGGAGAGAAAGAGAAGTGGGGGAAGAATCCCTACAAAATGGGACATGGGGGGAGAAGGGAAGGAATCACTGCTCAGACAACCATGGAGCCCACACTTTATCATATTTCCAAGGACAACCACGATTAATGAACGTAAGTTTATACATTGGTAGAGCAGCATTCACCCGTGCCTCCCAGGCCGACAATTCTGGAAGGGTTGGGTAGATCCATTTAAGCAATATCTCTCTTTTAAGGGTAAAATAATAGGTAGGAAATTAGAAGTTTAGCATGGTGTGATCGTTGGTCATCCTCATGAATACCCAATAGGGCCAAGTCCGGAGAGAGGGGTAGTGACAAATGCAACCGGAGGTTGATCTTAGCGAAAACCTCAGACGAATAGGCCATAATCACGGGGCATAACCAAACCATATGAAAAAGAACCCTGGGTGTACATGACAACGGGGACAAACAGGGTCCCATAGGCTCCTGATCATTAGTGTAGACCGAGACCTGTCTTGGACAGCTTGGTCTCTGTGCAGAGAGCATACACTGAGCATGCTCTGGGCACAGAAGGCTATCACCATGAACACATATGGGCAGTGTGTGGGCCTTAACCAAATTAATACTGGGCACATTCACCCCCTTCCTGCCTAGGTCAATGTTCAGCTTTCAGCGGTATCGCACTTTGAATGATAAATACTCAGTCATGCAACATTGTACCCATATGAAATTGTTATCATTTTTTTGAGACAGAGCTTTCTTTTGGTGATATTTAATCACAACTGGCATTTTATTTTTTGGGCTATAAATGAAAAAAAAGGCCGCAAATTTTGAAAAAAAGGCATATTTTTCTTAGTTTCTATTATAAAATTTTACAAATAAGTAATTTTTCTTCATAAATTTTAATCAAAATGTATACTGCTGCATTTCTTTGGTAAAAATAACCCAAATCATTGTCTATTATTTGGTCTGAAAGTTATAGCATCTACAAGCTAAGGTACCAATCATTGAAAATTGATCACACCTGATGTACTGACGGCCTATCTCATTTCTTGAGGCACTAACATGCACAGCACAGTACAAATACCTCCCAAATGACCAATATTTGGAAAGTAGACAGTCTGAGGTAATTTTTTGTTTCCCACAATTCTTTGAAATTAAATAAAATGTGTTTATTTTCCACAAAAATGTCAAGTTGAAAATGTTTTTTCTTACACATGGCATAGGCATACTTGCAACTATTCTTCTTGAGAATGGCGACATCACATATGTGAGACTTTTTTTACAACCTAGCCACAAAGAGAGGCCCAACATTCAAGGAGAACATTCAGGTGTTATCCACTTAAAGACCAGGCCACCTTCTGACACTTTGGGGTTTATTTACTAAAGCTGGAGAGTCCAAAATCAGACTCCCTTCTGCATAGAAACCAATCAGCTTCTAACCTCAGCTTGTTCAATGAAGCTTTGGCAATGAAACCTGGAAGCTGATTGGTTTCTATGCAGAAGGGAGTCTGATTTTGGACTCTCCAGCTTTAGCAAATAAACCCCTTTGTGTTTACAAGTAAAACTCAGTATTTTGCTAGAACTTAGAACCCCCAAACATTATATATTTTTTATAAGAAGCCCTAGAGAATAAAATGGTGGGCAATGTAAATTTTTTTGTGTCACATGGCAGTGTGCAGCGGAGTTTCAAACGCAATTTTACACAGTAATGCAAAAATACAATTTAATATATTTTAATGCACAATGAAATAAATAAATACCAAACATTAGAAATTCTGAAGAACCCTCTGCACACTGGTATATACCCTTTCAAGCAGACTATGCAATAAATAGGGATATTTAGTTCACACATATTGCAATACATGCTTAAGCTGGCCAACTGCGTCAAAGTAATCCCTCTATGGCCGGTCCTACTCTGCCCTGCCTACGCAAATGCTACTGTGGACACAATGCTAACATAGGGGAAAAGACACAATGGGGAGAGCTACAAGGTTCAGATCTGGCTACTGACCCAACAATACAATAAACAAGAGATCCCTGTGCTCAAATCCCAACAGCTAGTGCATGCATTTATCCATCAGGTACTAGATACCAAACATGTCACGGTTTAAAATTGCACACATTTATGAAATGGCGCCAAACTTTGGTGTTTAACCATTTCCATACCGTGCAATTTTTTCAGCTTCCTGCCCAGACCCATTTTCAGCTTTTAGTGCTGTCGCACTTTGAATGACAATTGCACGGTCATGCAACATTGTACCCATATGAAATTTTTATCATTTTTTTCCCACAAATAGAGCTTTCTTTTGGTGGTAATTAATCACCCCTGAGTTCTTTATTTTTTGCACTATAAATGAAAAAAGACCGAAAATTTAGAAAAAAAAATAAGATTTTCTTTGTTTTTATTATAAAATTTTGCAAATAAGTAATTTTTCTTCATAAATTTAGGCAAAAATTTATACTGTTACATACCTTTGGTAAAAAAAAAAAAACAAATCGGTGTATATTATTTAGTCTGTGTGAAAGTTATAAAGTCTACAAGCTATGGCACCAATCATTGCAAATTGATCACACATGAAGCACTGATGGCCTATTTCATTTCTTGAGGCCCTAACATGCTAGGAAAGTACAAATAGCCCCCAAAAGACCCCTTTTTGGAAAATAGACAGTCCAAAGTATTTAGTAAAAGACATGGTGAGTTATTTGAAGTTGTAATTTTTTCCCACAATTCTTTGGAAAATGAATAAATTATTATTATTATTTTTTTTTTTTCACGCATAATTGCCAAAATAACAAGTTATTTCTCACACCTGGCATAGACATACTTGCAATTGCACCCCAAAATGCATTCTGCTACTCCTTCTGAGTATGGCGATACCGCATGTGTGAGACTTTTTTCGCAGCTTGGCCACATACAGAGACCCAACATCCAAGTAGCACCTCCATGCATTCTAGGAGCATAAAAGGGGCATAAATTACACATCTAATTTCCTGACTCCCTATCACAGTTTTGAAGGCCCTGAGCACCAGGACAGTGGAAATACCCACAAAATGACCCCATTTTGGAAAGCAAACATCCCAAGGTATATTCTATCAGGCATAATGAGTCTTTTGAACGGGTTATTTTCTTCCAAATGTTTTTAGAAAATGTGGAAAGAAAAATGAAAACTTTTTTTTTTCACACAAAGTTGTCAATTTCTAAGATATTTCTAACACACAGCATGTACATACAAGAATTATGCCCCAAAATGCATTCTGCTACTCCTTCTGAGTATGGCAATACCACATGTGTGAGACTTTTCCGCAGCTTGGCCACATACAGAGACCCAACATCCAAGTAGCACCTCCATGCATTCTAGGAGCATAAAAGGGGCATAAATTACACATCTAATTTCCTGACTCCCTATCACAGTTTTTAAGGCCCTGGAGCACCAGGATGGTAGAAACACCCACAAAATGACCCCATTTTGGAAAGCAAACATCCCAAGGTATGTATCAGGCATAATGAGTTTTTTGAACGTTATTTTTTTCCACAAGTTTTTAGAAAATGTGGAAAAAAAATGAAAAAGTATTTTTTTTTTTTTACACAAAGTTGTCAATTTATAGGATATTTCTTCTATACTCGAAAATACATTTTACTACTCCTCCTGAACATGACAATACCACAATCTGAAACTTTTTCACAGCTAAAGAAAGGATAAGCAAAAGATTACCTATGGTTTTAGGAGAGCATTGGACCAGGAAGCAGGCAACAGCAACAGGATTCGACCAGGCAGCAGGCAGGAATATAGTGGATAAACAAGCCAGGGTCAGAACAGGCAGCAGGCTGAGATCCAGGTAGAAGGAAGAAACATGGTCCATAAAAAGTCCTAGGTCAGTCCAGGCAGCAGGCAGAGATATGGTCAGCACAGCCAAAATATTGGTCCTAGACAACAGGCAGGAACATGGTCCATAAAAAGTCCTAGGTCTGTACAGGCAGCAAGCAGAGATATGATTAACCTGTGTTGGTTTGTATTGGTCCATGCAAAGTATTGGTCCAGGCAGCAGGCAGGAACATGGCCCGAAAGTTTTGGGTCAGTACAGGTAGCAAGAGGAGATATGGTCAGCACAGCCAAAGTATTGGTCCAGGCAGCAGACAGGAACATCAGGCTTAGGGCCTTGATCAGGTAGGACTGGGGCACAGGGGTAGAGGCGTCGTCCCACCCAATCTCTTCGAAGCCTCCGGACAACAGACCCTATTTCCGGGACTAACAACAAAACCCGGAGAAAACCAAAAACTGTTTTTTATCTATTCTGAAGCCCCTCACATATGCGAGACCCCTGTGTTATCTTGAATCCCACTACTGCAGTAGCAGGGCAAAAGATCAATCCAAGCAGCAGGCAAAAAACATTGTCGATTTAACAGGCCAAGGTCAGTCCAGGAAAAAGGCATAAACGTGGTTAATAATCCAGACGGCAGGCAGAAGCATAGTCGATAAACAAGCCATGGTCAGTTTTGGTGAAAAGCAGAAATGTGGTGTAGAAGCAATTCAGAGCAAGCAGAGGCATTGTCGGTAAACAGGCCAGGGTCAGTTAAGGTAGAAGGCAGAGGCATGATAAATCATGGCAGTAGGCAAAAGATCAGCACAGATAACAAAAATGGGGAAGTTGTAGGCTGTTGAAAATATGGGGAACTAATATCTTATTATAGTGTGATAACGTTTGAAGCAGTCTTCGAAGCATAGGCCTGGTTGGGAGGGACATTGGGGACAATGAACACTGGTGTCTTTCCTAATTCCCCTTCTGCTGCATACCTTACATGTTTTTCGACGTCTTCTTCCTGTTTCTGATGGTGGAATTCTCTCAGGGAAATGGCGTTCATGCAGTCTGCTGACACAATCGGAGCGAATGGTTTGTGGTGGAGATCCTTGCTGATAGATTAGGGCAGTGATGACATCTTCAGTGTGTTTGAAGAGGTGGCTAGGTCTTTCAGTTGATTTTTGATAGATTATATATGAATTATAAATTGCCATGTGGAAAATGTATATTGCAGCTTTTTTGTACCAGTAGAGGGACTTCCTTGATGGTAAGTATGGCTGCAGCATGCGATCGTTTAAATCCACCCCCCCCATGAATTGATTATAATTGAAGATACACCATGATGTCATTATGGATTGTGGACAGGACATAAACATCTCTCCTATCCCTCCATTTCACGGCCAGCACTTCCTCGTTCCTAACACTTGCAGATTCCCCTCTTTGTAGAGTCGTTTCTAATTAAACTTTGTGGGAAGCCCTTCCTGTTTGGTCGGACAGTACCGCAGGCCATTGTTTTTTCAAGGTACAGGTGGCGGAAAAGGGGCAGGCTTGTATAATAATTGTCAAGATAGATGTGATACCCCATTTGGAGGAGTGGAAAGGCCAGGTCCCAGACAATTTTGCCACTTATGCCAATGTAGGTTGGGCACCCAGGGGGCTGAAGGTGGGAGTCTTTGCCTTCATACATGCGAAAGGCATGCACATAACCCGTTGCACTTTCACACAGCTTGTTGAGCTTAAGTCCATACCTGGCCCTCTTACTGGGCATGTATTGCTTGATTCCCAGCCGGCCAGTAAAGTGGATAAGAGATTCGTCCACACAGATGTTTTGGTCAGGGACATAAACTTCAGAAAATATTCTAGAAAAAAAAATAATTAGGGGGCGAACTTTGTACAGTTTGTCAAAGCCTGGCTGATCTCGGGGAGGGCACTGGGAATTATCACTGAAATGCAGGAAAACGCATTATCATATCATAACGTGACCTGGACATTACGAATGAAAATATGGGAATGTGATGGATGGGGTGGGTGGACCAATATGAATGTAGTACATTTTTTTTTGTAAGCCCCATGTTGACCGTAAGGCCCAAAAACAATCTAAACTCTTCTAGTGTTAGCGGTCTCCACTCGAATGGACGGGCATAACACAAATTGGGGTTGGCTGCAATAAATTGTTGGGCAAATAGGTTGGTTTGATCGACAATTGACTGAAGGAAACTATCAGGGAAAAATAAATTTAAAAAATCAATTGGGGAAAAATTTTCTGTGTTGATCTGCACTCCTGGTTGTGCGGTGAAAGGGTGGATTGTAGCTGATCCTGTGTTGGAAGGCAGCCACAAAGGGTTTGCAAGAGAGTTTGGGAGGCAAGTTTGGGACCTGACTCTTGGGGTCTGGCGTGATATCCCAGTGCTGGTACTGGGCCTGTCATCCTGGGGTCTAGCTCTGTTGGTATTTTCTGACTGACCATTTGTGTGTAATGGCACTTGTATGTTGGCGCTGCTCGTTGTTGCCTGCTCTTCAGAGCGTCTTACTCTTTTTGTAGGGACTACTTCCTCTTCCGATTTGGTCACCGATCCACTGCTTTCTCTT